GTGTGTGTGCGTGTGCGCTCCCACAAGAAGGGTGGTGTGACGGGAAGAACTCGCGTGGTACCTTACGCACTTCTATCGCAGGGACGTTCAGGCTCCCGTGGCGAGAAGGAACCTGGTGCAGCCAGAGCCTGGCTCCCGGTTGGGTGCGCCTCCCCCTCCCCCACCGAGCATGTCCCTGAAGGGCTGACGGGAGGCCCCCAGCAGGCAAGTGAGGAGGCAGCCGCCTTGCGCCACCCCCGTCCTTGGCCTGGGCACGCCGTGGCCGTCTGGCTCGCCCTCCCCTGTTGGGCTCCTTGCAGGTGGGTTGGGGCCTGTGGGGCCCAGCGTGCACCCACCACACTCATGGGCTCCCGTGGGGCACCTCTGGACGGGCAGGAGAGCAGGGCCAAGGCCCAGCCGAGGAGGGGCACCGAGAGCAGCGTGTGGGGCCGGGGCTGGAGGAGGGACCTTGGCACGGTGCCCACCGTGCCTGGCGCTGCCTGGACACTCCCCTTCCTGTCCAGGGGACGCAGAGCTCAGAGAGGGCACCACAGGGGCCACCACGCGTGCACAGCCACACTGGTGCGGGCCCCCAGGACGCCGACGTGCTGGGCGGGGCTCGAGTCCTGCCCGGGACCTCCCCCGGCCAGAGAGAGAAATGGTTTTGGACGTCCCACCCCCCACGGGGAGGGTGCCGGGCAGGGCAGAGGCGGGAGTCCCCCCGGAGCAGGCGTGGCTGCGTGGGGAAGGGAGCCACCAGCCGTGGCTGACGGGCCCCCAGGTTCCGGGCTTACCAGAACACGTGGTCCTTGGTCACGCGCTCGCGCAGCAGCGCCCACTTCCTGCCCAGGTCAGACGACACGTACAGCTTCGGGGCAACGAGAGAAACAGACGTGGGGTCACGACATCCGGAGCGAGCCTTCCAGGGGGCGGCCGTTGTCCCCGCTGCAGTGGGATCGCTGCCTCACCCCGCGAAGCGCAGCGTCAGGCCCGGCTGGGCGCCCACACGGCTCACACCTCGCAGCCACTCACCCGGCTCCATAAACATCGAGCCCGCGTCGGGCGGCTGTGGGTGCTGAGAGCCAGTGCGAGAGAAAGTCTCGGGGTGGGATCCACAGGCCCACAGGGGCCTGAGCCCCAGCTGTGGGGGGGACCCCTCAGTGTATGTGCAGGGGGAGGGGAGCCAGACTCCAGAGCAGGGAGCGGCATGTGTGCACAGGACACGAGTGTAAAAAGGACCCAGCCTGATTCCCTCAACTGCAGGGTGGAGTCTGCTTCAGGGGCAGCCCTCATAGATGTATGTGTGTGTGTGTGTGTGCATACATGCAGGTATGTACATGAACACAAGCCATATGCACCCACAGACATGCACACACAGGGACATATACATGTGTGTTCAGATGCCACAGACACGTGTATTCACACCCCCACAGACATGCATACACACTCACATATACATGTGTTCACACACAT